AGTGGTCTGACACAGAGCTAGAAAGGGTTATGGCAGGGGACGAGCGGATATTGGCTGAGACGCACGCCGCGTCTATCCAACTCACGTCCCCGCGCGCGTTCTGAAAGGATGGAGTCTCTTTGTTACCATTGATAACCTCCAGATCAAATTTGCTGAGGAAGAGTTCGACCGTCTCTCCTCTGCCGCGCATGCGAGACGGCACCTGGCTAGTCTTAGAGTGCCATAGAGCAGAGGCCGAGTTGGTATCAGCCCCTGCTACGATACCTTCGGATCTACGGGAGAGGAGGACCTCTTGTGATACCCGTTCTAAAATTTCCGCCGGCTCCGTATCCACTGGGATGTAGATCGAAATGCATGTAAGCCATCTGTCCCCGAGGAGGACATCGAGGGCTACGAAGTCAACACCACTGACTATAGTCTTAACGGGAGTCTCGGGTGGCACCAGTATCGCAGCTCGTGGTCGCGATTCCTGAGCTCCGCTGCCTTTACCTAAGGACCTGATTACGGTAAAGCCGGCCCAATGGTCTCTCAGAGCCCATGGCGGCTCCTGTAGAAGCATTAATGTATCCCGGAGGTCTACTTTTGATCGCAGATCCTCGAGAGCTGCGAATGATTTGCAAGAGTTGAAAGATATAAACTTCATTTTTGGGGCAATTGTACACTGTTGGTTATCAAAATCCACGTGAACTTCATTATCAGGAATGCAGCTCGAATTAGGTTCAAGGCAGCCCTCAGGGCTGCCGTCTCGTCGGGCCATTACTGGAGGCCGCCACCCACATCTGGGGTAGCGGCTTCAAGGATGGGCACCGTGTCCCGCGGGTCGGTCTCCATAGCAATCGGGATGCTCTCGGCTGCTGGAGCCGGATTCGACACTATATTTCTGGCAGACTGGGAGGCCAGAGACCTGCACTTCATGATCTCCTGGGCACTGTGCCCCGACAGGCCACACACCGTGCAGCTCCTCCCTTCCCAGTCTCTAGGGCGGTCACATCGCTGAACGGTGTGACCCTTGCCCCCGCATTTGATACAGCAGATTTCTCCTTGACACGGCGAGGATGCCGGGTG